ACATCGTTGCGAAATCTTCGTCAGAACTACAGTCAACAGTGTGTTTGTTTGGTACGAGCTGTAATGAATATTGCCAAAAGCATTCGAATTCGATACACGTTCATGTGCCAATTTAGCCTCGATTCATTGGTGCGTTGATTGGCCGAGCGTCGCGTGCGACGGTTTCCCGCTTTTTCGAATCACCTACATAATGGCGTGGCTGGCAACGTTAGGTGTTATAGAAGCGGGTTTATTGTAGAGGAAAGCAGAGGCGGGTTTATTACTGGCCGGTATTTTATCTAGTGTTGGTTTTGTTGAGAGTAACCGGTTCGTATTTAGGTATTTTAGACGAGTTTGATTGTGATGAATTGCTCGTGTTGTGCTGTAATTCGAATTTTATCAAACTTCGCTTCATTTAGTTCGGGCATGTGCTGTAGATTGATTTTGTAATCGCTGGATTACAGTTTTCAGCTCCCCTATAACAGAAGTTAGCTAGTAAAATGGCTGGAGGAAAAGGTAAGGCAGGTAAGGATTCTGGAAAGGCCAAAGGCAAAGTGATCTCACGTAGTGCTCGCTCAGGACTCCAATTTCCCGTAGGTCGTATCCATCGTTTCCTTAAACAGAGGTATCCTTCATTCGATTATAGTGCAGTTTTGTGTTGTTCGTGAATGATTTGTCATAATTTTTTGCGCATTTAATATTTGATTACACAAACAGTTGATGTTCTTAAATGTTAGCCAAACTTGAAAATTTTCCATCTTATAAAATTGAAATTTCTGCTGTATTTGCAAATCCTAATACTTGGCAAATTGTGTGAGGTTAGTTTGATACTAGCGTTTTTTGCGTATTCAGAACAACTTCCCATGGTCGTGTAGGAGCTACGGCAGCAGTCTATAGCGCAGCAATTCTTGAATATTTGACGGCTGAGGTGTTGGAATTGGCTGGTAATGCGTCGAAAGATCTTAAAGTGAAGAGGATTACACCAAGACATTTGCATCTTGCAATTCGTGGAGACGAAGAATTAGATACTCTCATCAAAGCTACCATCGCTGGTGGAGGTATGCCGTATTAGGATTATTCGTTGTTTGACTTGACATTCGTGCTTTTTGCTGTGCTGAATAGAGAAATATGATATCAGCATCCGATTTGATTGGAGAATATTCGTATTCCAGGTGTGATCCCACATATCCATCGTTATTTGATGAGCAAGAAGGGTCAACCAGCTCCAGGACAAAAACCAGGCGCTGCTTAAGAGATCGTATCGAAGTGGCGGATCAACTCATTTTATGGACTGATTATTTGATATGTTTTATTTAGCTGTATTTTAACCATCACCAATTATAATAACCATTCGATATACATTTGTGCTTGTTTTTATATGTTGTTTACACTGTTGCGCGTTTTTGAAAACATTTTCCCTAATAATTTTCATTGAATCCAATCACCCTATTCATATCCATGAATAATTTCGTCGTGGTTTTCGACATAATAATGCACATCTATTCATATCCATGATGTTTTGTTCTATTTCACGTCGTTTTTATGCGTGCCGAAGTAGTTTCCAATCGGAATATTGTCTAGCATACATTATGTTAGTATTAACTGAATTCTACTCAAAATTTCTCTCACATTTTTTTCGTTTCATGGTTTCTACTTGCAATTTGTACTTTATCGTTCCTCAGTGTTTCGCAACAACTTTCGTTCTTCATTTTGCATTACGTTTCATAATTTTTGGACTGATTCTCCTTCTGAACGTCTTGAAGAGAAAATGGTGAATTGCTTATTTATTGATGTGAATTATTTGTGGTTCAATTTATTTGCATTTCTCCTGGCTGATTAGTGAAAAGAAAATTTTCATAAGTGTAAAGCGTGATTAAAATTCACTAAGGAATTCACAATGCCGTTTGCGGATTCACCATACTAATGGAACTGTGCCCTTCATGACTTTGTATGTACTCTTATTCATGTATCATCGTTACTTTTCCGTATCAATAAACAATTCCGGATCTCAGCTGTTTCATTCCACAATAAAAATAACATTCAAAATGTGATGAAATAGATGCTCTGATTATGAAGCCAACAATTCAACAGTGTACGGAAAGATGAAATGGTATATAAGACTGAGGTGTACTTGTCATTCACCAACTCAATGCCACTAAACTTGTTTCAGCCAAATTCTCTCAACTAATATACAAAACATATATCAGCCACAATAACAGATAAGGTCATGCATACAATAGTTTACACGAACAATTTCAAAAAATAT